AGATCTGTTCGGAATCAGAATATAGATTGAAACAGAGGTGATTTCTTTGGAAACGATTGGAGATTCAGGGAAAATCTTTTTATTTTTTTCGGTTTCCAAATCACAAATCGCCTCAGAGTGGTTTCCAAATCACCTCAGAATAGTTTCCAAATCATAACAATTGAGAAGGAGCGTGTGTTTCACGCGCACATGGGAGACCTCGTGATATGTTGTTTGCTTCACTCGTGTTTTGTGATATGCAGGGGTAAAATTGGAAACTGAAATAGGGCAGGACTTGGTGGGTATTAATTTGTTTGCATGGGACTGGCTGGTAAGTCCCCCATTTCTTTAACATGCCTTAGGCTTCTCTCCAGTCCGATATTGGACTGGAGAGGTACTGTTGGGCTTTGTGGACTTTTTTTGGGTCTCATTTTAATAATTTGAATCATTCATATTTTAAGATTCGTCGAATACATCATCCCTGTAAAAAATAAAGTCGATTAGCCTTTGTTTGGGATCTGGGTTGACTTTTTGATTTTTTGGCTATTTTAGCCCGGAGTTAAAAAGTCTCGTTTATGATAGACTTTTTAATTTTTTTGACTTTTGTAAGAGAAAAAATGAAATGATTATAATTTAGATGTGATATTTTGTTTGATTGACTTTTTAGTCTATTTCGTCTTTTTATGACTATTTTAGCCCAGGCTTTTTATGCCAAACGAAGCATTGGATAATGACAACCATATATTTATATTAGTTTTGTATGAAAAAAAATAGATAGTAAGAAAATAAACGGTTTATACAAAATTCATCCAAACACGTAATTTTCGTTATCTGATCGACTTGATTTTTTGCAGTGATACTCTACTCGACGAACCCTATTCGACGAACCCTAAAATGTGAACAGTTTGGATCATTAAAATGGGACCCAAAAATTGGCTCATTAAATATTTAATCATATTATTAAAAACTCCAAACTAACTTAATGGTCACGAATCGATTATGATAAAATTTATACATAATGTTTAAATTTGTTATTATCAAATATTTTTACTAAGATTAAGACTTTATTTGTCATAACTTAAAAAAGTCAAAAAGTCACTATTCTATTTAAGTCACATCATCTTATTTAAGTAACATCACATCTCTACCATATCACTTCAAACTCAACCCATACTTCATAAAAAGTCAAAAAGTAAACTTATTTAGATCATCCCAAACCATCCCTAAAGCTAAAATATGACATAAAATTTAGAGCAGTTCTATCTTAGATAATTTTTTAATATATGAATATATGTCACTATTTATTTCATATTGTTAACATAAATATATAATTTTTTTACCTAAGTTCAAATTTTTAATAGATATCTATAAAATATGTTCACATCTCTTATTTAAAAATAAAAATACTTATAGATATTTTAATAAATAAATAGGTCAAATGATTCATAAGTTGGGCATAGATCAAGACATTTTTAGGTAAATGTCACATTGACATAAATATACAAGTCGTTTATGCGTAACTCTAATAAAAATGAATAAAATTTAATTGATTATATCATTTTTACTATATATTTTAGATAAATTTTATATTATTATTAAAACTAATTTTTGTTTATTTATTTATACTCGTGCACAGCATAATCAAGGCCATTTTACCGGCTCTTAACACAAAGTAAAAATAAAACGAACTAAGCTTTTAAAAAGACAGGTATTTTTTTTTTTTATTTAGTAGTTTCAGAATACAAAAATTGCTAAAATTTATAAGTTATTGACACAAAAAAAATAAAATAAAATAAAACAAAACTAATTAAGATTTTAAAAAGAAAAGTGATGCTATTTTTTTTTTTTTATTTAGTAACTTCATAATACAAAAATTGTTGAAATTTATAAGTTGTTGACACAAAACAAAATTAAGAAATAAAAATGTGATCCCTTGAATTTTTTTTTAATTAACTTTAGAATACAAAAATTGTTAAAAATTATTAGTAGTAAACAAAAATAGAGTAGAAATTTGTATAATAAGATATCATAAATAATTATTTTTTAACTACAAAAAATTTAAATTTTAAAAAATGATAGTTGCCATTTAACTCTTATTTAATTTTTAACTCACTACACCTCAGTTCTTATATTTTAGTTTTTTTTTTAACAAATTTAAAAAAATTATAGGTGACATTTCATTCTTATCTTATTTTTAAACTACTACCCTCTTCTGTTTTTCTATTATTAGAGTTTTTTTTTAAAAGAAATTAGGTTTATCTTATTTTATTTTTGAATTTTTAAATTTCAACTTAATTTTTTTTATTCAGTGGTCTTTTGGCAAGTTGGGTTAAAAGCTGTGTTTGCAGCTTGAGGGCTAAAAAAGCTAGGGGTGATTATTCAATATTTTCGGAATATGGACACGTGGTGTTCTATAAGGTTTTGATTGATAGAGAGGGGTAGGGGCTCACGATTTATGTTAGGGATAAGGGGACAACATGATGGCTAAGCAATTGATGATTGATTTGAAATATGGCCACGTGATGTTCCGGAATTATTAAATAATTTTCCAAAAGGTAGATAGCTTTTTTAGTTATGAAGTCATTTGGCAAGTCTAAAAATGCTGCATATAAAATTACAATTACACGCTTTATATTATTTAGGGTTATACATGAGTGAAAATGTAAATTTTTTAAATTTGGTGGGGTAGTTTGGTCATTTTATTATGATGTGACATCATTTGGTGTTTATTGAATTTCTCTCTACCTCATTTTTCTAGAATTTATTTAATTTTCCCTTTCTATACTCTTATAGTTCATCCTCAAATTTAAACTTGATTTTTTTTATCTTTATCTTGTATTTACAAAATCCACTTTCGTTCTTGATTTTTAATTGGGTTTATTCTTTTTCGAAGATTTATCTAATTTTCTCTTTCTATGTTCATCATCAAATTTAAACTCTTTTTATTTTATTTTATTTTTTATCTTTATCTTATATTTATAGAAATTCACTCATACTCTTTCCTTTCAATTGAGTTTATTCAATTAAGTGTATTTCAGAAAAATTAATTAGTCTTACATATTTATATAAAATAGTGAAATCACTCAAATATATTATTTAAATACCCATATAAATTAATATCATAGTATTTAGTTAATTTTTAACATGTTTCGTATTATTTATCACATTTTGTTACTTGCTCGTGCATAGTGCAAATTTTATGCTAGTATCAGTAAAATAGGCATGGCAGGGTGGAGCTAGAATTATTAGGATTTGTTTATGAAGAGCCAATTTAGCTTGCTTTTTTAATCTTTTGACTAATTTAGCCCGGTTAATTAGTTTCTTCTAAGAGTAACTTTTAATTTTTTTTGGTTTAAATGTGATAGTGCTGATAGAAAAAGTGAAATAATTATGATTTAGATGTGATATTTTGTTTAACTTATTTTATTTTTTTGTACTTTTTTAGTCTCAACTAAATTGCCAAATGGGGAACATAGTATTTTGTAAAAAGTTTTTAGAGATCATGTAAATTGACACCATTAAAATTATTAAAAAATAAATATGTTGGCATTAAAATTATTTAGAGATAGAAAATTTATACAAAAAGTATATTTAGAATGATGTACTAACTATATTTTTAAAATTATGAGGATAATAGTGAGTGTTTTATAAAAGAATAAAATAAAATAAAATTGCTTCATTCTATTTAAATATTTTGTTTATATGTCATTATCTTTTTTTTTTCTTTTTTGTTTTTTAAAGAAAATAGTTAAGGGTTTATCCAGAGCATTTGGTCTAAAGGTTATGGAGAAATGCCCCCCATTTAATCACCCTTAATTATTATATTTTCTTCAAAACTCCAAGAAATGCCCCCATTTAATCACCCTTAATTATTATATTTTCTTTAACAGTAATGCTTGGGAACTCTAATTTGAAAGCTTTAATGATGTAGAGAGTGTCCATGTGATATAGGAGCTGGGCTCGGGCCTGGGCCTAGAGTCTCGAGCTGGGCTCAAGCCTAAGCCTAATCGAGTTGGGCCCACTCCGGGCCTCGAATGGATTTCAAACTGTCCACAAACCGCGGGCCATTTTTACAGTCTTAAGTAGCTCTCTCTAGTAGATAACAACCAATCTCTTAGAAATTTTTTTATTTATGTATTTTGTATTAAAAATTTAAAAGCTCATAACTTGAATTTTATAAGCTAATTTTTGAAAAATAAATAAATTATATTTTGTGAAAACAACCAATCTCTTAGAAATTTTTTTATTTATGTATTTTGTATTAAAAATTTAAAAGCTCATAACTTGAATTTTATAAGCTAATTTTTGAAAAATAAATAAATTATATTTTGTGAAACTTTTTTCCCTAGCAATTAATAGGGATTGGATAACAACGGACTTCTAATCTAGTGACAATCATTTGTCTCTCATATACGAGAGATTAAGAGTTTGACTTGATAAGAGTCAGGTGATAGTGAAAATACTTTCGCAATTTATATTCATACAACTTATTATCCATTATAACGGTCACTTATTATCATCACTATCGTATCTAGAGTCTAGATTACACAAGAAAGAGTACAATAAAATTTCACTCCATGGTGGAGGAACGAAAGGGAAATTAATTGATAGTTGTAGAGTATCGTTTCATACAAACACTTATTCTATTGTCTCTTAAAAAGAAGACACAAAAGTGATAGACCCCACTAATTAAGTCAATAAAATTTAATAGATTGGAACACTACTTATATTTGCTCTTAAAGCATTATATAATTTTTCAAAACAAACATGTTACGGTGACAAAAGGCCTAGGTGGGAAAAATTTATTCCTAATCCTAAAAATACAAAATGGGCAACAAAAAATGTTAAATAGTAAGCTAAGATCTATTCTGAATAAGTAATTCTGAATAATTAAATTTTAATCTCAGTATTTCATTACATTTTTTCGTAAATCATTCTTTGTTCCTTTCTACTTTCCTAACATTGTTGAAAATAGTGTCATGTGTCCTTGTTTCAAATCAATTACAAAGTAACACACCTCCTAAATAACTTTGAGATTGCAATTGATTCAAAAGGCCAACTAGCGAAATGGAACTGAAACATGAGTCAAGAATACAACAGAAGAAAATATGAAAACTCCTACTTTGATTTGAACATCTGATATCAAACAGGACAAAAAGCTACTACCTTGTGAGAAATTTACAAGCAGGAAGTAGTAGAAGTACTTGATCATAAAAAAAATAGTAGTAGAAGTACAACAGTAAGTGATAGTGTGTAGCAACACAGCTTCATCAAAACAACAGTAAGTGATACTCTGCAAGACCATTTCATATGTCTAGATGATGTTTCTTCAAAACCCATGAAGTGTCTTCAGCAAGAAAGCTTATACCACTGCAGATGATCTGAAAACAAGAAACACGCAATTTCAGCTCCTTTTTAAAATCGATTGTTAAAACTACATTAACTAACAACAAGGATCAAACTTATGGGACACCAGAGAAATGTTTGGTACATGCAGAGCTCTCTCTCTCTCTCTCTCTGTATTCATCATATATAGAATTAGAAACAGATATAGATTTCCATTAAAATACATACCTACGTGCATATAAATATATGTACATGTATGTGGCTTTCAGTTTGTGCGTCTATGAGAAAGAAGTAAATGAAAGTTGAAGAAAGCAGTACCTTTGCCTGTGTTCTCGAACATCTTCGCCAGCAACGTTGGGAAGAAAGCATTAGTCTATGCAGGAACCCAACAGGAGCTAGCACAGAAAATCTTACCCCTCCATCCCTGCAGCATCCATTGACCATCTTCATCGATCACAAAATCTTTGTGGTACCCTGCCTTCTTCACCTTACCCCTGAATTTGTTTAACGTCTCCTGCTCCAATGGGAGCATCTTGAAACCAGCCCTCATGATGCGAGCCTGCCACTGCTTGTATGTCTCGGGCCTCTCCACCCTTTCTGCACCCTCGCAAGCAATTATATTCATAACTTCACGCCCAAAGAACTCTTTCTCTAAGTTCACCCTCTCCTGACTTTCGCGGGGCATAGTAATGTCAAATATATCAAACATTGAAGAGTAGTAGAAGAGTGCCTCACGAAACCGAGTTACAAAGAAGGGGGCATTGTAGGATCCGTTAACTATTGAATGGGTGAAAATGTCCGGATTCATCTTCCTAATCAACTTCAGAACAGCATCCCTTGGACTATCCACATCAACTGTCTCATCAGGTAGGTTCGAAAACCTGAAGAAACTGTTCACAGCAAGCACCTCATCACTCAGTATATTCAGGTCCTCAATTTTGATAGTTTCCCATTTCTGTGCTATGGCATGGTATTGAAATCGAACATTAAAGCGTTCACAATACTTTGCCAAGCGACGCCCTGTCTCCTCAACCAATTCTGCAGGTCGGAAACCAGATCGCGGAAGGTCTATCCCAGTAATTCGAAGTTCCGGGGCACCACCAGGTAGGGTTGAGAGAAATTGGATAAGGATGGGCCACTGGAAACCATACAGGATACCAAAATCAATAATATGAAGCTTTGCTTTGGTTGATTTCATAGCTAAATCCAAAATCATTTTGTTTGCGAAGAATATTGTCGCCTGCTTGAATGGGCAAGCTGAAACATAAAGCTGGTAAGCTTTCAACTTATCGGCAGCTGTAATCCTCTTGGAAGCTAGGGCTGAATAAATCTGGCTTCCAGTGCCTGCCAAGCGTGCCTCAAGAGCATCGGCAAAGACATAGGCTACCCTCTGAGACCCATTACCAAAAGGAGAAGCGTGCTGCCTAATCTGCTTAAGTTGTTCCTTGGCAGTCCTGCGATCATCAGTAGCAACAGATTGTGCGCAATTAATCAAGAGAGTCCTCAAATCCACCACTTCATTTTTCTCATCCTGTTTCCGAGTGCGAGTCTTTGCGCTACTAGATCCATGTGGTTGTCCGTTCGGATGGGGGGTCTTGGTTTCTTCAGTCTGCTCCTCTTCATCACCATTACAACATGCAATCTCGCTTCTCATTTCAGTACATAGCAAAACCTTGTCAAACAATGCAGACAACTCGGCCTCCTCCACAGACTCCATGTAAACTGCCGACTGCTTGCTACTCCTCTCCTCTTCTAAAACACTATCCTCCCGGTGATGATTCTTCCTACCCCTCAAGCCATTCGGCGAGCTTTCCCTCCCCTCCTCCACCTTGACTACAACCTCTGAAGCCCTTTGCTCCGATTCTGGAGGCAATGCATCCAATTCAACAACCAATGGATTGTTTTTAGGAAGGAACTTCTTAGCTTCCTCCATCCCTCTATTGAACTGCAAAATGGACTCGCTATTGCTAAATATGTTTGAAATCAGATGGCTACTCATAGAAGGGTCTATTAGACCATTAGAATCGTCACTGAAACTCATTGTAGAGTCAAATGACAACTGCGAAGTGGGTTTCAAAGTCGTCTCAAAAGGGTATCCGGAAGTATAACTTTGAACAGAGAGTTTTTGCTCTCCCGGATCAACAATGCATTGAGAATCAATGGAATTGCTACCGCTAATATTGCTGGTAGTACTTTGCATACTGGAACTACCAAATAAAAAATCAGGGCTTTCGATATTTGGATGATTGAAGTAAAGAGGGGGTGGTTCATTGGGGGAGGCAGAGCCAAGAACATCATATAATGATTTCTCAGTTTCTTGTAGGGCCAAAGGATCATCGAACATACTGGGTTTCTGCTCCATGTTCTCCTCCATGAGTATGGAGTTTATGTAGTTAAGAAGATTATTGGAGTAATCACTATCATCTGGAGAGTCCACTTCTGAACTTGTACTCGATATCGGTGCAACGAAACCGGGGTTGAGAGAATCAGGGGAAAGGAAAGAAAGGTCAATGGAATTGAGATCTACAAGGTCATCTTTAAATTGGAACATGTTTGAGAGATTTTCAGATTGATCAAAAGGGGGAAACATAGAATCATCATTGAATTTGAAACCTTGGGTAGGATCGGAGAATTCAGTGAAACTTGGATCCATGATCATTCACAACTCAAAAACCCTAGATGAAAAAAAAGAAAAAGAAAAATAAAAAAGAAAGGTACCCTTAAGAACCCTAAAACCCAAATCAACTAATTTCCAGAAATCAACGAAGTTTCTACATCTAATTCTAGACTTGAAATCTAGACCACCATGACATCATAATGAAATAGCTTAAAACGAACTACAATGGGTAGAGTCTAAAACAATCGATTCATGGTAAGATCAAAGATGTGTCCTTCAAAAATAAGAGAAATTCTAGATCAAAAAACAGAGAAAAAGCAGCTAAAAAAGTTCATACAAGTTTGCTAGTAATTCATTGAAAAAACGTATAAGTTGAAAGTAGAAGACGTAAACGGATCAAAGGCAGAGAAGCAACATATGACAAAGATGATGAGAAACTAGTGTGACATTTGCGTACCTCCGAGGAATAGAAAAAAGAGACAGCAGTATAGTGAGTGAGAGAGGAAGAGAGAGGGAGAGAGAGCAATGATTCACTGAACCTTGTACGTGGAGCTAAAAACGAGGGTTGTAAGAAGGGATTGAATGGATAAGAGAGAGTAATGATTATATAAATATAGAAAGAAATCTATTTTCTTTACGTTTCTTGCAGCAGAGGTCATGAATTTTCCAGGAAACAGAGCGCGGGAAAGTGGAAGGTAGACGAGGTCAGCTCGACCGGTAATAGCCGGTCAATCCCGTCTCTCAACGAAGATTAAAGATTGCTTTAAGGATGACTTATACCATCTCTAACGGTTCACCAAAATTGATATCAAATTCAAATTTTGATGAAAAAGTTGTTGTTCACTGCTTCAACGGTTGTACCAAATGAATATCAGATTGAGATTTCATCAAAAAATTTATCAAACTGACAACGAAATACTGATTTCACCAAAACACTGTTGGTAACCGTTGGAGGGAGACCAACCGGTCAACCAGCCGGTTGACCAACCGGTCGACCAGTAAAAAATTCAAACAGTTCAGGAAAAAAGTTCAAACCGTAAAAAAAAAAAAAAAAAAAAAAAAAAAAAAATTGCCTAACCGGTCAACCGGCTGGTCGACCACCCGGTCGTCCCGAAAAAAGTTCAGAAAGTTCAAAAAAAGTTCAGACAATTCGCGAAAAAAAATAAAAATAAAAAAAAAATTTGCCTAACCGGTCTACCGGCCGGTCGACCACCCGATTGTCCCGGGATAGATTTGGTGAAAGGTGAACCATTGGAGTGAGTGATATCAAATTTAATGAAATGAGTCATTCTTTATTCAGATTTAGTGAAAAATTTAAGTCACCGTTGGAGATGCTCTTATAAATTAATTTTTTGTATATTATAAAAATATATATATTTTAAGGACGCGTTTAGCATGTGTCAGTCATAATTATTTTATTTAGGTCATAGTTATTGTATTTAGATTATATCATTTCTTTACCACATCACATTAAATTCAATTTACATTTCATATTTTTTTTTATAAAAAATTAAAAAAATACACTTATTTTAATCATTTCAAATGCTCCTTCAACGTTGTCCGTTCTCTTGTCAATTGACTTTTTTTTTGTTGGATGTACCTTGCGATTAAAAATTTGTTTAATTTAAATTTTTAAAATTTTTTTTATGAGAAAAAAAATTATAATTTAAATACGACATTTTGTCATATTAATTTATTTTCTCTATTTTTTCTTTAGCCTTTTTTTAGCCAAAAAAACTCTAGTCAAAATATTTATAAAGTAGTGAAAAAAATTATTTGTTTAATTATTAATATTTATAAATTTTATCATTAATTTAACTCTTTTCTTATTTATTTATAAAATTACACTGATTTGTAATTTGACTTTAAAAAAAAAACGTGTTAATGAATGGCTGAAGTCAAAAACGTGTTAATGAATGGCTGAATTAGAGCATCTCCAATGGTTCATTTTTTTTTTCATCAAATCTGAGTAAAAAAATAACCATTTTCTCAATTTGATATTAGCTGCTCCAATGGTTGTCATCAAAGGCAAGGGTCGACCAACGGGTCTACCGACCGATCGACCGGTAAGGCAAAAAAAATATATTTTTTTTCTTTTTGAACTTGTTTGAACCTACCTATTTGAACTGTTTGAACCTTTTTCCGATCGACCAATTAGTCGACCGACTGGATGACCAGTTGGTCAACTGGTGGGCCCACTTGCAATGTTACAGCACAGTAAATTGGTGAAGGCTCACGCAGATTCTCAGTTTGGTGAAAAATTTGCTTCGTTCTGAGTTTGATATCAGTTTGGTGAAACCATTGAAGCAAAAAAAGTGACTTTTTTCATCAAATTCAAATTTGATATTGAATCTGATGCAACGTGAGAGATGGTCTTAGATGTAGGGCGGGGCTTCCTACCCTGGTTTGAAGGGTTTACTTCAGGTTTGTATAATTTATCAATAGTCTCCTTTCAAACGAATTGAATCGATCATTTTGTAATTTTTTTTGTGTATATAATTTCAGCATTGATAGAGACTCCCTCCAATTACCACCCTTACCACCTCCACACACACGTGGCGGGTGGTGATTGGAGGAGAAGGAGAAAAAAAAAAATTGACCAATGGGAGGGAAAGGGGGTGAGAGGGAAAGGGGGTTTGAAACATTTTTCATATAATTTACACAAAAATTTAAATTGATTCGATAATCATAAATTATACATTTATTTTATTTGTCACTAAAAAGGATGAATAGTGTTTTTTTTTTAGAAAAAAAAAAACACATTTCTCACCTATTTAAGTGGTATTTTGAGAAGTTAGTAAAAACCCATTTCTCACCTATTTAAGTGGTATTTTGTGTTTTTGTATATAAAAACACAAAAGTTGATGATTAAACTTTTTGAAATTTAAAATTCAGGCATGTAAAATGAAACTTTAAAAATATATAAAAATAAATAAAAATTACTAATTTCTTGCAAAAATATTCTATATAGTTTCATTTTCAAAATCTATTTTTTTATTAAAAGAAAAATTAAAAGACTAAAAATTAATTTGGTGGAAAAAAAAAAGAACATTTACATACAAGTCCCATTTTGTGAACTTATACTCCATTAGGTCCTAGATAAAATTATTTACTCTTTCAAGTCCCATTAATTTTTAATAGACCAATTTATCCATCCAAACCCCCTTATCATCAGCGACAGTCAAGACCTCGCTCTCATCAACATAATCGATTCCAATCGCTTCCAGAATTTGAGCCTCGACGAAGTGGCCGATCCGAGCCTTGGCCATGACGGGAATCGTGACGGCGTTCTTGATCTCTTTGATCAACTGAGGGTCGCTCATCCGAGCCACACCGCCTTGGGCTCAGATGTCGGCCGGGACTCGCTCGAGCGCCATGACAGCGCAGGCGCCGACTTTCTCAGCGATTCTGGCTTGGTCGGCGTTAACGACGTCCATGATGACACCGCCTCGAAGCATTTGGGCGAGGCCGACTTTAATGGAGAAAGTGGATTTCTTTGCTTCTGTTATTGCGTCGTTTCCGTACACTGCTACTACTCCGGTTCCGGCCATTTTTACAGAGAGAGAGAGAAAGAAAGAGAAAGATAGAGAGAGAGATAGATAGATGGGGATAGCGAATGGTGTGGGGGGAATGAGAGATATAAATAAGAGTGGCGTTTGAATGGCTCCTGCCAAGTTTAATAGCAGTGGCAGGAGCTGGAGCATCAAGCTGAAATTTTTAAAAAAATTTCAGTTTCTGAAGTTAATGGCTGCATGTAAGCGCTTGGTTCAATTAGGTCTAAGTTCTGAAATCTTGTTGACCAAACTCCGAAGGTTTTCTTCGTCAGAGAAGCAATTCGATGGCTCTTTTATATTTTAAAATTGAGAACCTTCTCAATTTATGATATCCTCAATTTCAATCATCAAAAAATTGAGAAAACTTCTCAAAATTGATAATTATAAATTTCTTAGAATATTCGCAGAATTATCTTTCTTTTCAATCCCATACTTTTCTTAGAAGTCAAATAGAAATTTTTTAATTTTGATAATTATATACTGAAATCATTCTCTGTTTGAAAATTGAGAATATTCTCAGTTTTGAAATTGAGAACATTCTCAGTTTTGGGATTAAAAGGCAAAACGTCTTTTTACCTATAAATGAGATTTATTGGTTCAAAAACTTTTTGATAGGACCTAAGCTATCACCAAATATATAGACAGGACTTTTTGGTAATTAACTAGCCTATTTTCATGTATTTTTCTCATTTTTAAGGTTAAATGTATTTTTAGTATTTGGTTTTGTTAAAATAATTTTATTGCTTTTCCTCTTTTAAAGAAAAATTAGTGAAACATCTCTCTCTAACTTTTTGTAGTAGGAGATGTCGAAGATGTTTTTTTTATTAACTAAGATCCCTCAATATTTTCACATAAAAAATTCAACTCAAAGAAATTTTGAAACTTTTATGTGAAATCAGATAAATTTTTCTATGAAAATTGAAATTTCTTTGAATCGGGATGAAATTTCTCTAAGTCAGGTAAAATTTCTCTAAGTCAAATTTTCTCTGTAGAAATGTTGAGAGATCTTAATTATTATGAAAATGTTATATATCCTATATTTTATAAAATCTTTTTATCAAGAACTTTAAAAAAAAAATTCTTTTTTTTTTAAATCAAAAATAAATTTTAAAAACGAAATAAAATAAAATAAAAGTTATATAACTTTTTATTGCACACGTGCCGTTGCAGAACTCTAGAAATAGAAAATTACCCTCTCATAATCATATAGCATAAGAAATTCCAACTTTAACAATTTTCATAAAACAAAAACAAAAACAAATACCTACTTTGGCAATTGAGTTAAAAATTAATTTTTTAATATTTTTATTTTTTTTATCACGTCATCTTTCTATGTTTTTTTATATTTTTTTAAAAAAATTAAAAAATTAAAAAGTTAACTTTTAACTTATTCATCAAAATAGACCTAATGAATTTTTTGATAACGAAAAATGTTAAAAATCTTAAAAATTTTATTAAATTTTTTACCAAATATTTTGTATAGATATGAGACTCACACAGTAACTCCAATATGAATTCAACACTCATGTAAGATATTTAAAAATTTTGATAAAATTTTGAAAGTTTTAGCATTACTTTTTGACAATTATACTACTCCCTCCGTCCCAAAATATTGGTCCCTTTTGGGGAATCTAACTTTTTTTGGTAGTACACTTATTGCATTTGAAAAAAGTTAGTTTTCCAAAATTACCCTTTTGATAGTACATTTTTTGGGAATATCAATGTCATAATTGTACTTTTTAAATTGTTTATTAATTTAAAAGAAAGGTAAAATAGGAAATTTACATTATTTTTGTACTTAATTTATAAAGAGGGACTAATATTTTGGGACAATGAAAAATGAAATAAGGGACTAATATTTTGGGACGGAGAGAGTACAAATTATAATCCGCCACCATGGCCCATGGGATCTACCACTGCGATGTCCTGTTTAGCCGGTGAAAACCGGATATGGTGCAGCCCACCATTTTTTACTTTGTTGAATTCAACACATTAAAAAAATAATTATAAATAAATAAAATTCTTGGAGAGCAAGCCTCTTTAATTTACAATTAAATTTTACACAATTATATACAATATATGTCATATAACTTTGACATTTATATAAATGGGCCAATCACGATTGTGGTGGCATTTGCTGAATCGGGTCAAACGAATGCACAGTCGTAGTCAAACAGATAAAGTAATGTGTCCTAATCTCTATCATTACCCTTATTTTATTTTGTAGATGGATCTATTATTACCCTTATTTTTATTTTGTCCATGGAGACTATGATGGAAGTTTTGTTTGACAAATTATATTATATATATTTTTTTTGTCTTTAATAAATTTTTTGTATCACATATGTCAGAAAAAATTATTTATCAGATCCTCTTTTAAACAAAATTTTAAAACAAAAGTTCACTAATGATAAAAAAATATATTAATTTTTAATCTTTTTTACACTTTTACTAAACTTTTTTCAAATTTTTTTTAACTTTTCTAGTCCGTTTCATTTAATAGAACCTAAAAATATTTAGAAAAAAATTAAATTAATCAAAAAAAAGATAACAAAAAAAAAAAAAGAAAGTGACAAACCTTGCTTAAATAAGATTAAACAACAGTAAAAGCACATCGTATAATGTCATTATTTACATGTGTGCATATGTTAGCTCACCCAAAAACGAATGTAATTGGTAAAAAATTAATTTTTAGTTTTTTATCAAGTTTTTTGACTTTTTTGGAAGTAATTTGGGAAGTTGGTAAAAAATTAAATTTTTTTATTTTTGATTTAATATTCTTTAAAAGTGTCACATCACTCTAAAATGACCAAAATATCCTTACTTTTTAATTAAAAACATATTTTTAAATTAATTAATTACAATGTTCCAGAGAGTAATTTGATAAATTTTTAAGCAGTTTTTTTGGATCTTCCCAACTGGGATCTTCCTGATTTTTGCCTGGTTTGGCGTTTTGTTTAAGTGGGAAAAACGCAACTTTTTGTTTAAGTTGCCAAAACGGCACTATGAAGCATTAAGTGCTTGTGATTTTTATTAATGTTTTTGCTCATGAGAAAATTTGGATACTTGATTTGTTATTATTAAGTTCTAATGACTGCGGACTAAGGCTTATTTTGGGAATAAGATTAAAAGTCGATTTATTGGCTTTTTTGTTTTTTTTTTTTTTTTAATTTTTTATCACATCATCTCCCTATTTTTTTTATGTATTTTTTTAAAATATGTCAAAAAATCAACTTTTAATCTATTTTTCAAAATAGACCAACAACATAATTTTATAAGTCTCAAACTATGTGTAGAACATGCATAACCCCGTTTGGCAATCTTCAAAAAATCATGAAGTTAATATATATTGCCACATCACTTTCTTTATTTTTTTATATATATTTTTTGAAAACATAAAAAATTATTTAAATAATTTATTCACAAACGATATGGGGTGTTTTGAAAAGTTAGTAAAAAGCTAATTTTTTAACTTTTTAAATTTATTTTGTCTTTTTATAAGTAAATTATGTGAAAAATGATATAACCTAAAATTAGTAAAAAAAACTAAAAACTGACCTTTTACCAACTTTCCAAAATAGCACATAGTTTCATATAATGTTGCTTGTTTTAATAATGGAGCATCTGCATCTGGTAGTTTTATGACTTTTCAATGATACATAATTGCACCACTAGATCACTAACCCCTTAAAAGTCGCTCGTCATCTTTTACTCTCAAATCTCTATTATATAATTCAAGGATTGAAGACCTAAAAAAAAATTAATAATTTTTAAGATAATATTTTGAGATATTGATAGGAAGACAAAAATATAAAAACAAAAGATAATCCTTAACAAGTAAAAATAAAAAATAAAAAAAAATACTAATAATAGTTGTCTCTATTTTAATAGGTCACTACCCGATTTTTAAATTCACACTAGAACAAGGTAGATACGGAGTAAAAGACAAGACAAAAAAAAAAAAAAAAGATATGGTTGCTCCAAGAAACATTTTCACCACGATTAGTTAAAAACGCAAAACTATAAAAACAAATTTTTAACTGATATTGTGCGGTCATTTAGAAACATTAATAAAAAGTTAAAAGTTAACTTTTAGTTTATTTTCAATTATATTACCTATGACATAAAAAAGTTAAAAAAATTTAAAAAGAAAATTAAAAAATCTACTTTTAACTATTTTATCAAAATATCCACTTGGGATATGAGATGAATTTTGCACAATAACAAATTTATAACAAAAAAAAATCCCACTAATTTAAGGATCAAATAAGGTATTGTTTGCGAATCTACTATTTTAGTAGTTTTTTAACTTTTTATGAAAAGATGTACAGAAAAGTAGAGAAAGTGATTTGATAATTTATAATGACTTTTTGACTAAAATCAAAGGTTGCCAAGTGATCCAAAAATAATACAAAATAGTCAATACGTAATTAGATCTTTGAAAAGAATTGAGACCTCCAAGAAAGTCTCTTAAATTTATATGCAATAACATGCAAGTTATGTGTTATTTTTTATTTGTCATAAATCCAATCATATAAGACAATTCTCTTACTACATAATTATAGGTCAAATTAAAATTACAAGTTTCTTTCTAACATTTTTATTGTATTTTAAAATTAAGTTCGAAACCCTTATAATTACCTTAACATAGTAGACTAATATGCAAACAAATCTAAATCCCAACCCGTAATATATATATCATTTCAATTATGCTTGAGCCTATATGTAAAGAAATAATGTTGTTAAAAATTAAAAACCCTACTAATGATGAACATGAACAAAAATATAATAAGAAAATCTCAAGTACAAGTCAAACTCATTAAAAGCCTAACATGAGTAAAACAAAATTATATTTTATACTATGAAAGTATACAGAGTCTTCTATGCTAATTTCAATGCATGATTGTCAAGCAACCAAGAATCTAGATAACTTGTTGCTTATTCAACCTTCTAACACAAACTTCATCTTTTAATATTTATCAAATAAACACTAAACAATAATAAATCGGCATGGTCAAGACGTTTATATTCAAATGTACCAGACTAAAATAACCTTATTACATTTTCAAATCAAAGCTCCATCTTTCACTCACTACTGTATACTCCGCACCCCTATAGCACAAGTTACAACACCAGGCTGCATTAACCTTCTTCAACCTTCTTCACTAGCAGCTCTTCTGCAGAATCATTTGAACCACCATCAATCCTTTGCTATGCAACAAGAGCTGCACACTCAGACATCAGAGACTGAAATTTCCATAATGGAATCATCAGATGTTT